GCCTTAGCCGGTTGAGCTATAGGCGCCGAGCCAAGTTTTTCTATTTTTAATAGAGACGGGGGTCTTGCTCTTGCTCAGGCTGGTCTTGAACTCGTGAACTCAAGCAATCCACTCGCCAGATTAGTTAGGTTCTGGGCCTCCCAGAATGCTAGGATCCAGGCATGAGCCACTGCCAGGCCTGAATCACATATCCTAATTATCATGGGGTACTTGAAGCTATGCCAGCATCCTTGCACCATACCCACCTCGGGTGCTTTCTTTCTCTCCTGCTGTGGCATATGACTTCTGATGCTGTTTTTACACTGTCTCTTCCCACCCTTGGGAGAAGAGGGAACCATATGAAGTTGGGTCCTACACATTTTAAATATTCATTTCCTGTAGAGAATGAACTCAGGAAAGGGGATTTTGCTGGATGGATAAGGAAGAGAAAAGAAAAAAGCATAAGGAAATAAGAAGGGAGGAGAATGGGAAAACATAAAGCTGGAGAAAGGGAGAAGGAGCAGGGAAGGAAAGAGGGAAAGGACTCCTAGGCTCAAGATTTTCATAGACTCTCTAAGAAAAAAATCATCTAGTATCTAAATCAGTCATGATTTGGGCTCTGCTGATGGAATGAACGTCCTTGAGGTGGCCCTTGCAATCCATAGCATTCCTTTACTGATAACGATGGAATAGGCCCTTAGTTCACTTAAGAAGCCTTCAGCAGGGCATCTGACCTTAGAAAGGATTGGCTCACTAACAGTCTGGAGCATGGTTAACAGTCTGGGATGAAGAAGATGTAATTCTGTATTCAACAAACCTGTTACATATTCATTTCCAAATGTGCCTGGAATAAAACCAGGCCATCAGAAGTCAGCATCACCAAGTAATTCTATCCTTCACCCCATGTTCACTTTTCAGGTCTGACACATTTCCATTCCTCTCTGAACCTGCAATCTCCGGGCCTCTCAGAGAGGAGACATTTCCATTCTTTCCATTCTCAATCTTCCATTCTCATCTCTTAGAGATGAGGCAATTCTATTTTCACTGTACTGATTTAAGAAATACTGATAGGAATAAATAAATACCTGGTTTGGCTTTCACCCTCTCCAGGATAAATCTTAGCTGTTTTTGGAACATTAATTACAGTGAATGGGTAGCTGCTTTTAAAGTTAAGGTGTTTTCCCTACCCAATCACCACTTTATTTGGGGCTTTTGAGGTCACACACTAGTACCCTCTCAATTATCAAATCTGGTAATTTTTGTAGTCTTGAAGAAAGGTGCTTTCTGTAGTTGGAAGCTGGAATGTCCTACCCAGTGCCTGTGTATATATGAAGCACTTATACCTCCTTTTCTTCGCGTGCACCTCTCGTCATCTTCTAGATCATGCTCTTCATCTGAGGGGATAAATGATCAGTATTAGCAATTAGTGATCGACAGTCTCACATCCATCATAGTGAGGAGTCTCTTTTCTCTAAGCTCATTATCCTCACTTCTTCAAGGAAAGTTTAGTTACCACGTTATTATTTATTTATTTATTTGTAGAGACAGACTCTCACTTTGTCGCCCTCAGTAGAGAGCTGTGGCGTCACACAGCTCATAGCAACTTCCAACTCCTGGGCTTAGGTGATTCTCTTGCCTCAGCCTCCTGAATAGCTGGGTCTATAGGCACCCGCCACAATGCCTGGGTATTTTTTTGTTGCAGTTTGGCCAGGGCCGGGTTTGAACCAACCATCCTCAGTATATGGGGCCAGAGCCCTACCCACTGAGCCACAGGCGCCGCCCTATTTTTTTTTTTTTTAAATCATCTCTTACCTTCAAATTGGCCCTCTTCTCCTTTCCCTCCACAAAATTTAAGTGCTTACTACAGACAAGATGCTGCATTAGCAACTGGGGACCAGCAATAGACAAGACCAGACCATCAGGATTCCTGTCCTTATGGAGCTGCAAATCCACCAGATTAGTTAGGTTCCTATCACTTGGATCTTAATCCTTTTCTTCAAACACTATTTCTCCTTCCCTTCTGGAATTCTCTTTAAAATTTATTATCTTAGAGACAGGTGTGGTAGCTCACACCCATAATCATAGCACTCCGGGAGGCTGAGGTGGGTGGATTGCTTGAGCTCAGGAGTTCAAGATGAGCCTGAGCAAGACAGAGAGCCCATCTCTACTAAAAATAGGAAAACTAGCTGGGCATAGTGGGTGCCTGTAGTCCCAGATACTCAGGAAGCTGAGGCAGGAGGATCACTTGAGCCCAACAGTTTGCAGTTGCAGTGAGCTATGATAAGGCTATGGCACTCAACCCCAGGGTGACAGAGTGAGACTCTGTTTCAAAATAAATAAATAAATCATTATCTTCATGCAAGCATTCTCTCTGGTTTTTCTTTCCTTAAAAAAAAATTTTTTTTTAGACAGGGTTTTTTTTTGCCTGGGTTAGAGTGCAGTGGTGTCATCATAGTTCAACGCAGCCTCAAACTCTTAGGCTCATACAATCCTCTTGCCTCAGCAGCCTCCTGAGAAGCTGGGACCACAGGCATATACTGTCACACTTGGCTAATTTTTTATTTTTTGTGGAGATGGTGGGGGGGGTTTCAATATTGCTCAGGCTGGTCTCAAACTCCTGACCTCAAATGATCCTCCCACCTTGTCTTCCCAAAGTGCTGGGATTACAGGTGTGAGCCATCAAGTCTGGCCCTCTCTGGTTTAAGTACTCCAGAACTAGGATTTCAGGGTGTGTGTGTATATGTGTGTGTGTGTGTGATTTGAAGAGGGTGTTTAAACCCTCTGTGATTAATTAGTCCTTAATGTATCCATCTTTGTTCAGCCGTAGCAGAAACTGGTCATGTACATAATTTTATGTTCCTGGTACTTGGGGCTTGTAGTTATCTTTTTACTGTTTTTATTCAGCTTGCCTTGTTCATTAGAGTATAAGCTCCTGAGGGCAGTTGGAATGGTCTTTTAATTAATTGCTATAGATTCACAATGGGTTCTAAGTCAATGCCAGTGTCTAACTCCAGTCAAGTGTTTATATGCACAAAGCCACAATATGATTGGCCTAAGTTTCTTACCCTCATTAATCTGTTTCATCTCAGAATTCACACTACCTGATAAAACAGGAATTGAATCTTTATAAAGCAAGAATGTATACCAGAATCATATTTATTTTATACATAGGGAAGAATGAGCAAAAATATATTTGCTACTTTTTCACCACCACCACCATGCTCTTCTCCCTTTCTCACTAACACACACGAACACACACTCATGCAGGGTGGATAGGGCATAATAAGGAATGTTTTGAGGGCTGAATACTCAGCTTCTCCTGGTCACATTTCCTTTCCTTTTCTTTTTCTTTTCTGCATCATATGGCATTTGCTTGTCTTGCTTCTCTATAGTTTTGCCACTAAATGGAACCTTTGAGGAGATGTTCTAGGAACATTACTTTTTTTCTTTTTTTAAATGTAAGGTTTATAGGTCAAAATGAATTCTGGTATGTCAGACTGGGAGAAGTAAATGACAAGCTTATAGGTAAAAAGAAGAAGCATAAAAATATGTTAAAATACTATATAACATTATAGAAGTAATTGATTTCACATAAAAAGTGACACTAGTCCTTAAAAAAATAAAAATTAAGATTAAAAAATGACACCATTCCTTGCAAAAAAAAATTAAGATTTCTCCACTCTGGGGAAATAAATCACTGGTTACCAAGATTTTAAAATAAATAAATACATAAATTAAAAAAATTAATATATATAGTCCTCAAGATACTAAAGGAAAAAGAACACTCTGATTCAACGTTTTTTTCTCCATGTATGAGCTAGCAGCAGAGAATTTCCTGCTTACCACCTGTAGTGCTTCCCCAGCCCCACCACAAGGAATAAAGATGTAAGATAATGGAGAAGTGAAATCAAATATAGGAAATAGATCATGCTGAAATAAATCACATTAAACATCATTCTTTGCACATTGTCTTCTCATTACTTGCCCACTTCCTTCCTTCCTCTGTTATGTTGCTTTTCCTTTTTGACATGGGACTAGTTTTGCAGGATTGGAAATATTAGAGAAAGAATTGGTACCTCCTCAGTTATAGATACCCAATAATTTGGCCAGGGAGAAGCTCTTTTGCTGATATCAGACAATTCCATCACAAAGACCAATAATTTGCTGTGCTTAGGAACTTTTGCAGAGAGGGTTTATTCTACCTCTGCTGTCTGTGCGCAGCTGTCTCTTCCTCCCAATTCTAATCAATGTAAATTGGGTCAGATCTCCGCTGTGAATTACAAATTGGATCCGAAGTTGGAGGGTCACCGTGCCTGCTATTCCACCTCCTTCCCATCACCATTAGATGGGAAGCTACACCAAAGATCTTTTCTAAATAAATCAGACTTTATTGTAAAACTCGGCCACTGACGAGACATAACCTCATTAGCATTGATTTTAAAATAAATTATTGAAAGTGGCTTGCCTGCTCTTTGCATTTGTAAAATAGGAGAATGTAAATGTATTTGCAATGATAAAAATGAAAACTAAAACTTGATTCCTTTATCCTTTCAGGCAACAGCACTTAATCTAGTCATGATACAAAAATGGAAAAATAGAAATCTCAATTCTAGACCAGATATGCTGATTTCCATTGCACCTTTGGAGTCACTTAGAAAGAACAAAAACCATTGCCCATAAAGCTTATATATCATCCACCACCATTACTAAACTCTACAGTGATGGGTGTGAATGGGGAAGCACCAACCCCCACATCTGTTCTATCCTTCATGTGTGGCTGCAAGTGGGCTCAAGTTAAGAAGCCTTGCTATTGATGGGCTGAGTACTACACCTCTGGGGCCTTTAAAAGAACAAGAATGGGTCACTGACACATAGTGAAGGAAAGCACCTTCTACATTTGGTTGTGGAAAGCATATTCCTTGGCATCTCCCCAAGTTTAGAGGGCATAATACAAATACAGAGGCATATAATTTATCTCAGATCCCTCCATGAAGCCAGACTGGTATCTTTCAAACTCCAAAGTCAAAGCAGTTGATTATATGGCATCAAAACGTCTTTTTTCTCACAAAATTGGGGAAACAGCTAAATTTCACATTTTTATTAATCTGTAACACAGGCTTTAATTTTTAAGAGACTACTTGGAAAAATAGTTTTTAGGCTAAAGAGCTTGTTGAATTTCTTTATAAGAATGTTATTAGACATTTTAGCATAACATTGACTGAAATACATCTTCATTTAAGAGAGAATTAAAATTTATGTGCTAGCTCAACTTTAAACAGTAATAGATTATAATGGTTCTTGCTCCTAACAGGGCATATGGGACCCCCAACCTTACATAGGTTTTAAACAAATTAACCTCCAAAGATTACTGTCCACTTATTACATTAAATGCTCTACTTGATCCCCAAATATCTCATCTCAATTGGGAAAACAGTTGAAGAAGATTCTGTTAACTGTGTGAACATGTTAGAGAACCATGGGGCATCGCAAATGAGCATCAGTATCCGGAGATTTAATTTCAATCAACACTCTTGGCACAATGTCAGGGACACTAATGAGAAGCTGAGAGGAATAGGACACTGAACCCACCTCAGAGGGACAACAAGGAGCCAGTTTCTCATGACACCTGGCTCCTTTCTGAAGTGCTGCTCTGACACTCCTCTGACATTGGCTAAATCAGTATCAGAAAGAATAATAGCCGAAAATGATTAAATTAGAAAGAGGAGCAATCACTTTGCCAAACAAAGTGAAGTGACAACAACTTTAAAAATGCCAACTATATCACTATGCAACCAGATGTCAAGGTGCTCTGGTGACAGATGCAACAGAAATATAGATAGACCAGAAGTGCAAAGGGAATGTGTGGAAAGTGGACAGTAACTGCTCCCTGACATGCACAGGTGTGTTATAAATCTATGGATACTGTAGCACCTCATCAGACAACACGGAAAATACAAGCAAAATGATAAAGATGCATTTAATTCTCTATTGTGTATTTGGTAATTTCAACTGTAATCTCAAAATATTTGTATCCCATCTCTGTGGTATGATCTTGATATAGAAAATATTAAACTCAGTTTGTGATAATTGCCATACCTGGAATGCACTGAGTTAATTTCACAAATAATAACTGAGCACCTACTAACTGGGGAGAAAGACCTTAATACAAATTACTGTAGTAAGGGCCAAAACAAAGTTTGTTTTTTTGTTTTTTTTTTTTGAGACAGAGCCTCAAGCTGTCCCCCTGGGCAGAGGGCCGTGGCATTACAGCTCACAGCAACCTCCAACTCCTGGGCTCAAGCGAGTCTCCTGTCTCTGCCTCCCAAGTAGCTGGGACCACAGGCGCCCACCGCAACGCCCGGCTATTTTTTGGTTGCAGCCATCATTGTTGTTT